CCCTTACACCTCCTCCATCCTGGGGTTCGTCCACATAGACCCATCCCTCGTGTCCTGCGTCCACAGTCCTCCACCATGTGTCTTTAAATGGATCACGTAACAAGCGACCTGTAGATTTGATTCTTTTTGCGGGATGGTGGGGACAGTCAGAATCCATAGGGAGGTGACCATACGCCTGGCATTTGAAACACCAAGGCCATGTTTTGTGTGCCGTATGTATTCTGTAATCCTTCCCTCCTACGCGAAAGGGGATCACATCATCGATGGTGAAGACATGCTCATCAGGGATGTCCAAGGCCACCATGAGGTAATCGTCCCGCGAGGCTACGTGGGGGGGGGGAGGGTCAATGAAGTCAACGATCTCATATTTTTGTGCCAGTTCTTGCACAAAAGCTCCTTGGATCTCAATGGGTACGTGGCGGAATTCCACCCAATAATGTTCTGTCATTAACTGTTCGCGTTTCTCTTCTGGTTTCAATTGCTTCGTGGGAGACCAGGGGAAAATGCGAACCTCTGAGCGCCCGCAAGGAATGCTGCGCCATGAGTCCATGATCCGTTTGTCTGAATCAAACATGCATATCACTGTGAAGACTGTCGATGAGATAGGTTGGATCAGAAAAAAGTCTCGTGCTCCCGCCTCTGATCCTTTGAGGGTAGCGAGGCATTTTCTGATCCACCCTACCTTATCATTGGCCGATTTGTAAGCGACATCATCGTAAAAGACGCAGGTGCTGGCGTAGCGGGTGTAAATCGTGTCCCTCTCCTTAATCTTATCATTTGGGAGGGCTTTGACTCTGTGTTTCTTACCCCCCTGACTGATTACTTTATCCTCTGGGTTGGTCAGGAACTTGGCGAGGAAGAAGGCTGAGCGTGTAGTCAAGTTGTCCAATGGGATTTCCAGAGCCGCTTCTCCCTCGCCATCCCTTTTGACCGACAGTGTCTGTTCCGAGTACATTCTTCCCTTAAGTTTGTCCGCCCACGACGGCGTGGTTCCCCGAGGCTTCTGCAACTCTTTCATTTCTGCTAATAATTCTGCTGAGGAAGGAGATGGTCGAGGTTGGGGTTCCGTCGGGGGCGAGTGGGAGGAGGAGGCTTCTTCTGTCCCCATTCTATCTGTCCCACTCCGTGGTCTCCACTTGGTTGAGTGGTGTCCCATGGCCCCCTGGTGCCAAATGCTTCGTGCCTGGGTCTTGCCGTTTCTCCTTCGTGCTTCATGTTTCAGACTTGCCATATTGTCTGTGTTTTTTTTTTGCGTCTGAAGAATGGCCAAAATCCGGATCAGGTGGTGTTACGAGCGGGGAGTGTCAGGGGGGATTGTTTGGCAACTGCGGAGAAACCCGTGTTGTGAGCGGGGGATGTCAGGGAAGGAGCAAGCAGGATAGCCGGGGATTCGTGGCTGGGGAGGAAGGGGGGTAGTTCGGATCCTAGATTGATGGATTGGTAAGGGGGGGGGGGGTTCAGAAGTTTGAGAGATAGCGGGTGACGAGGCACAGGGAGGTCGTCCTAGGATCAGAATCTGGGGTCAGAAGCTTGAGGCGAGGTTGGAATCTGGATTAGGGTCTGGTTGGGTCACAGGGGCGTGGTGGGGTCTATGATGATGGTCGGGATCCGGAAGGAGGGTCGGGTTGGAAGATTAGAGACAGGATTTCAAGCGGGAAATCAGATATACGGGAGCGGGATGGGGCCTGGGGTGAGGGGGGTGAGCAGGGATCGAAGATCAGTTTCGTAGGGGCAGAGGAAAGGAGGTCGCGTGGGGGAGGATCAGGGGAACGAGGCGCTGAGGCAACGTAGGAGAACGAAGGAGAAACGAGGAACCCACGAGATCCTAATTAGAGTTACGAACCAATGATAGCGAGCTTCCCTGTTACCCCGATATGATGAAAACATTAATGACGAGAATCTGATCAGATTCAGCCTATCAAAGTGCCGAACTCAGTGGCAATCTGACAGGATCAGTCACCAACTCTTTCGCATCACTGTCCAGCGATCCAACGACGGGGGCGGGGTGGGGTCTATGATGATGGTCGGGATCCAGACAGGATTTCAAGCGGGAAATCAGATATACGGGAGCGGGTTGGGGCCTGGGGTGAGGGGGGTGAGCAAGGATCGAAGATCAGTTTCGTAGGGGCAAAGGAAAGGAGGTCGCGTGGGGGAGGATCAGGGGAACAAGGCGCTGAGGAAACGTAGGAGAACGAAGGAGAAACGAGGAACCCACGAGATCCTAATCAGAGTTACGAACTGATGGCAATGAGCTTCCTTGTTGCCCCGATATGATGAAAACATTGATGACGAGGATCTGATCAGATTCAGCCTATCAAAGTGCCGGACTCAGTGGCAACCCGACAGGATCAGTCACCAACTCTTTCGCATCACTGTCCAACGATCCAACGGGAAAACGGTGAAAGTGAGATGGTAATCCTGTTTCGGAGAGCGGGAGATCGCAGGGGGTCGAGGAGGTCAGGGACTGGGGCGGGAGGGTTGTGAGAGAGGTCAGGAAGGAGGAAGAGGGGTGAGCACGGGTGGGGATAGAGCGCCCGAGGAGGGAGGCACAAGCCGGTCAGGATCCGGGGCGATGGGGTCGGGAGACAAGGGTCCGGGCGGGAGATGGGGTTCGTCTGGGGTAGGGTGGGTGGACGGGATAACAGGAGGTCGGTAGCGGGGTGGTCGGGATCCGGGATCGAGGAGAGCGGTAGTGGGATGATCGGGATCCGAGCAGAGGTCGGAGAAGGAGAAGAGGGGTAGTCGGGATCTGAGCCGGATCGGGAAGAGAGCGTCGGAAGAGAGCGTCAGGGAGGGAGGCATGGGTGGGGATAGAGCGCCCGAGGAGGGAGGCACAAGCCGGTCAGGATCCGGGGCGATGGGGTCGGGAGACAAGGGTCCGGGCGGGAGACGGGGTTCGTCTAGGGTAGGGTGGGTGGTCGGGATAACAGGAGGTTGGTAGCGGGGTGGTTGGGATCCGGGATCGAGGAGAGGGGTAGTGGGATGGTCGGGATCCGAGTAGAGTAGAGGTCGGGGAAGGAGAAGAGGGGTAGTCGGGATCCGAGCCGGATCGGGAAGAGAGCGTCGGGGGAGAGCGTCAGGGAGGGAGGGGAAAGAGGCATTCAAAGGGTTCTCACCTCTGGGTAGTCCTCTTCCTTCACCGGGGGATATCCCCCGGGGCCCCAAAGGATAGAGGGCCCAGAGACACGTGTCTTCCCTTCGCTATCTACACCGTAGTCGCTGGTGTGAAGTTCCTCTTTCGCCCTTATTCTCCTCTTAGTCTCTCCTGTCTCCTTCCTCCTTATTGCTGTCGTCCCTTCTTCCGTGTGAAACCTTTGTACTGTGCTTGCTTCCTCACCTCAGTCTCGCGTCGTGATGCTTCTTTGCTCTCTTTATCAACCCTTCGTCTCTCCCGCCTTCTTCAACCCTTCGTCTCCCTGCCTTCTTCCCCCTGTCTACTCTACCCTCCTCCGTTTTCGCGCCCGGTACCTCCCTTGGCTCCCACCTTCTTCTTTGATCTCGCCCTTGCTTCGTGTTCGACGTGATTATTCCTTGCTCTCTTTATCAACCTTTCRTCTCTCCTGCCTTCTTCAWCCCTTCGTGCCTCCTTATTGYTGTCGTCCCTTCTYCYGTGTGAAACCTTTGTACTCTGCTTGCTTCCTCACCTCGGTCTMGCGTCGTGATGATTCTTGCTCTCTTTATCAACCCTTCGTCTCTCCTGCCTTCTTCAACCCTTTATCTCTCCTGCCTTCTTCCCCCTGTCTACTCTACCCTTCTCCGTTTTCGCGCCCGGTGCCTCCCTTAACTCCCACCTTCTTCTTCGATCTCGCCCTTGCTTCGTGTTTGACGTGATGATTCCTTGCGCTCTTCATCAACTTTTCGTCTCTCCTGCCTTCTTCC